TCAGCAGGACATTAGAGCTGTGGAAGGGATCTTGAAAGCACAATAAACCTCCACTTCCCACCCCCCAGCCAACCTTTGGTCATGAAGTTGATACCCAGCTATGCGTTTCTATCATTTTGCTTATTTTTCCTCCAAGCTGCTAACTTTTAAGCACTTAAGTTGCACACTTAAGTCCCATGCCAACGGCAGAACAATACTCACATTGTATCCTGGTGTCCTCGTTCTGAGTCAGTGGCCTAATCAGCCCAGACTTTTGTAGGCATGCCAAAATAGAAAAGCCTTCCAAGTCGGTCTCACATGGGGCAGGCTGGCAAACACCCAGCAGCTCCAGGCTCCAGCGCACCTGCCTTCGCGCGGTCCTTCCCTCGTTACCTCCAAGGCACCCAGAAGAAGCCCCTCGGAGACGAAGGGTGCAGCTCTGCACCCCTCCATCTGAGCAGACGCTGGATTTAACTGAGGTTTAACCCACCTCCTCTTCCATCCCGCAGTCTGCTCGTCTCTCCTCCGCTGCCCTGCGTGCCTCTTTTCTGTCTCTTTTTCAGCTACGGTGGCTGCCAAGTTCATGCCAGCCAAAATGCCTTGCATCTCCTTGGCTACTCGGTGCTCCCCGCCGTTCCCGCGTTCCCCAAAGCGGCATTCCCAGGGATCTGTTTAACAACGCACTGAGCAAAGAAGGGATTTCTCCAAACTGAAAATGCATTTTGTTTGATTTGTGGAGGGTTGCGTTTATCCTACTTCAGCGAGAAAGTGGGAAACATTTCAGTGTGTGCTGAACAAACCCTGATTTAAACAAAAGCACAGTCATGGTGGGCAGACCGTTTGCCATTCCCATCAGAGAGCCTGCCCTTGGCTCCTCAGCTACAGCCTTAGAAACATGATGTCTGCTGGCATCCTTCATTAAGATATTTGAACATGCCTTCAGTCTGTTTCACTGTATTTAAAGACTTCTTCCTCACTGCCAGAGGCTACAAGTAATTCGTCTTTTCTTCCTTTGAACAATTCATCTTGGAGATGTGTGGCTGCTTCAGCATTCACATGGGATATGCCTTCACACCTGGACTATCTCCCACATCACATTTTAACACAACCACGAGCGTAGGGACATGGCCGAGCACCGCTCACTCCTGGTTGAAAACCTGTGCGTGCCCTTCCTTCTCACCTCAGAAAACCAAGGTCCTCTACGGGCCGGTCCTGCCGCCTGGCAATCCAGGACCACGACCGCTACAGAGAGCATCTCTTAATCACGGACAGAGGGGAGAGGGCAACTCAGCCCAAGGAAGGAAGAGCTTCTGGCCAGGCAGCAGGGCTTCAGCCAGAGGAAAAGACGTCCTCAGCCAGCCTTTTGGGGGAAAAGCCCACCTACCGACCTAGCAAGACCAACTTCTGGCCTCCTCTGTTCTCTCTGGCTGTAAATTCTTCAGCTGCCCTGTCTATAAGGGATCACACACCCTGGTAGTGATGCTGCGCAAATGCTGCAAACAGTATTTGTCCCTGGGGGCAAGCAGTCACAAACCAGTCGGTAAGCGCGGGCGCTCCTCACGGAGCTACCTCCAGAGGGATGGAGAGAGAGTCCCTCCAGCAAATCGAGGCTAAAGACCACTCTGACAAAGGCAGCATCAGGCTGAGAAGCTTCAGCAATAACTTAATCCTTGCTCAAAAGGAGAAGGCTCTGCAGGTGTTGCAAGGAGACCTCTAATGTTGCCATGGTTCTGGTAAACCAGATAATCAACAGGGTGCTTCACCTCTGCAGTTTCCCAGAGGCTCCCTGACTGTCACATGCAGATGAGTGGAAATAACGAAGACTTTCTATCAACCTCCTAAAGTCAAAGGATGATCTCAATAGTCTTGTCCTATTAACAGGAAAAGATCCAGATTGCCCCGGGTTGAGGGTGCCCGAATCGCGTAGGGCACAGGAGAGAGAGACTGGTGAGATCACACCTCGATCAAGATTGAGCCGAGCTTCTCCAGATGTATCAGCTTAGCACAGCTCTTGGAAAACCTGTGTCCAGCCATGCCTGCCCCGTTCAACAGCAGATGCTGCAGCAAGAGACAGCAGGTGACGAGAGAAACTCACTGTCCCCTCAGATTTGTTATTTTCAGCAGGGATGTGCCCAGGCACTGCAGGTCCTGGCCCCCCGCACCCAGAAGCACCTTGGTGTTTGCCACACGGGCTGACAGGTCTCCAAGATGCTGTGCCTGGGGAAAAGCCAAAAGTGCAATCTTTTGTCATCAGCAGGCTTAACTGGTGACCTTTCCTGGGATCAAGGAGCATCAGTGTCCCACACTGGCCATTTTCATCTGTCGGACAGGCCTGGAGAGGGGTTAGGGATTCAAGTCAAAGCCTGGACTTCTGTCATGGGTGCCAGGTTAAGGGACAACTCATGGGCTTCAGGAAAACCTCTTGCCTCTCTTCTGAGCCTCAAGAGGACTTAGGGCTTCCTGGAACTTGCTCTTCACCAGGAACTGCAGGCAGAAGAAACAACTGTCCAAACTGGAAAAGCAGTCCCTGCAGGAGACAGACGCTGAAGTCCGTCAGGAGCTCTGATGCCATCTAGGAGAGCCTCTCAGGGGAAATAAGAGCTTCTAAGCTACAAGAGGTTCAGAAGAAATAGCTCCAGAGGAAAAAAGACGCGACTTAAAATTTGAAACAAAAAGGCTTTGCTTCAGCTCAGCCAAGAAACTGAAGGGTGCACAGCCCACACGGACAGAAAGGCTGGATGGGAAAGGAGCGCGGCCTGATCTCACGCCTGTGGGCGCAGGAGGTACGTTAGCTAGTTCACTCTGCTTGCCCAGGCACCAAGGAGGGGGGACAGGAGCTGGAAAAGACGATGCTGCTGTGACACTGGGGGAATCGGCACCTCCAAACAAGCACCATTTACTCACTGCTGGAACTTTTTCCTTCTTTTCCCCTCTTTTCTGAAACCGGCGGATTTTGCTAGTCACATTTCTTGTCAAACTAAACAAAGCAGCATGCAGGTTTAGGTCAAACATCATTTTATTTTACTAATCAACATGTAGAGAGAAAAGCAGCTAGAATTAAACAAAACCGACCCAGATTTCTTCCATTCCTTACTTACTTTCCGGTGAAGTCCCTCCACCTCACTCTCAAACTGTTCCTTCTCCTGCTTGGTTTGGATCTGCGTCTCTCCCAGAATTGATTCCAGCTCTTCATTGCGCTCAACCAAACCCTCGTGCTCCTGCTCCAGTTTTTGCAGCTTGTGAAGGAGCTGTGAATTCCTGCCCTCGATGTTTTCAATCACCTCTCGGCACCTACGCACCAAAGACCAACATCACCGAGGCTAGAACTGCTATGTAAACACACTGACCCACATCCAAACCGCTTATCGCTGGCGAGGAAGACCCAATGCGTTTTTCACTATGGGATATTTCTGTCCTGCTGATTTCGAGTCTCGCATCCAGCATGACCTGTGCCTGCTCTTATTTAGGTGGCGACGCATGGGAATTATTGGTGATGGGCTCTACACACGAGTCATGATGAAGGTCTGGGGAGAGAACTGGTCAGGCACGAGGATGCTAACAGCGGAGAGGCAATGGCAAATTCAAGTGCTTGAGGCAGAGGAACAGGCTTGGGCATTTGAGGGGGGGTGGGGGGAGGAAAAATAAAAGAGAAAGAGATGGGATGAAACCCCCTTTCCTCCTTGAACCTGCCAGAAGAGGTGCAGCAGCAGCTTCCTGAGCAGGCCACAGCAGAATGAAGCTTTGACTTCCCTTAAAAATCCCAGTCTACATATTTAAGTCTGAAAGCCAAGTTGTCTTGGTACACTCCTGGACAGGAACCAAATCCAGAGAAATCTTCCCAGCAGCAAAACAATTTTGAAAAGAACACTCTTGTCTGCAGAGAGCCACAAAAGCCCAACCCTATTCTTTTAGAAAAGCAACAAACTGGAGAAAGCACCAGCAAACAGCCCGCCTGCTTGATGCCAAGGGCTCCAGACCCACTCAGGCCTGCATTACCTCCAAACTTTCCGGTTTGGGAGCAGAGGAACAAAGCTGGTACCAAAGAGTATTCTAAAGAACCCAATACTTAAACGCACTCTGCAAGACAGAATACCAGCAACCAGAGCACCAGATAAGCCACAGTGAAAACACAAAAGATGAAGAAGGATTTTTACATTGCTCACCTTTTATGAAGTGTTTCACTACTCTGATATCTGTCGTCTTGATCTGAGCCAGCTTTGCCTGAAATGTGGTCTCCTTCAGCCCTCCCTTCGTCCTCTGTGGCCTGTGACCGAAGAGAAAATGACGAGTTAGCACATAATTAAGACTGAAATCTTAGCACACCGTGATTCCAAAGCTACCCGAGTCTCCCATAAACAAACAAGACAACCAGAAAACATAAGCTACATCTACTACTCCATCTGCATTAGATAACCCACCAGCCATAGGAGAGAAAAAAACCCCCAAGACCCATAACAATATGAAGGCACTAGTGGGTATTAGCTTACGCCAACAGACATGCTCTATGCAGGAGTGTATTTGTCCTGCCCAGCATAAATCCTCTGTCACACTGCACAGGATGCACTCACACGCGCGCAGAAAGGAGAACGCAAGCGTTTCTGCACGGCAAGCCGCGCGTCTTCGTTTACGGCACGGGGCTGAAACGCGGAAGGGGGCCTGTTTGCTCCATTTGCTTTCTAGAACGGCAGACAAAAAGCCCTTGAAAATACCTGCAGCGAGGACGCTGCAACTTCGTCAGCCTCGGTTGGCGCAGGCAATGGAAGTACTTGCTTCTCGCTCTTCTGATACTCACAGATCTCCTCTTTGAGCTGTTCAACCTTCAAAAGGAAAACATTTGCTTTTATTTTTGGTGAACGTTCATCTTGCTGTCTTAGAGAATTAAGATTCCCTTCAAATTTGCTGTAGATAAACTGCAGATTTATTAATATTAACCACTCAGCTTGAAGGATTGGTTGAGATCATGTGGCTGCTCCAACTGGGTGGCCTCAGACTATTCAGAGAGGTAAAGAGCAGTAAAAGGGGCAACGCCGCGCTGCGTTCAAGGGCAAGCGATTTTTCTTCATTTATTTCAATTACTGATCATGCACATGCGGTACATTCCCTTTTACTGAATGGGATGGAGTGCAGAGAGGCAGACAGATGACGACCGCTGTTTCTGAGGACACCTTGCAGGCTTTGCTGTTATCGACAGGATCCATATAATATTATTCTTAGCAGGTAACTGTTCACGTCGCACAGTCACGTACTCACACACTCACTCTTGGCTACGGGTTGGAGGAATAGGTGGGAGGCCAACCCCAGCCTGGGAAGCGCAGGGTCACGCCGCGGTGGCTTCTGGATGGGCGTTCCTCAAGTCCTCACCTTCATCAGATGCAGATATAATCCTGTACGCTAAGTGTGCCCAGCAGCACACGCGGATGCCACCTCAGCCTCACGCAGTCGATGCCAGGGACCTTGGCACAGGTTCAGCGGACCGCTGGTGTCCCAGGTTTATCGTTTTTTGCAGATTTAACCGCACTGCTAGTCTCCGGAGCTATCAGCCGCTGCAGAGCTCTCCCACACCACCTCCTCAGCGTTTCCTTTCTTCGGCCTCGTGCTGTGCCTCCATCCACACCCACAGGCACCTGCAGAGCCCACTCACACGGACTCACTCACGCCACACAGACGCCAGCTCCCGCGCGGTTAAGGCTCGCTACTCCGAGCGGTGAAGCACACCGCAGGGCCGAGGTCCGTGTCCCACAGACACCAAACCAGAGCCGGGTGGCCAGCCTGCTCCTCACCCGGCTGTCCATCGCTCACAGGCGGAAAAAAAGGACTTCAGGATGCAGAACTCCTGTGGCTCGTAATAAAGTACGCTTTCAGCATCTACAAATGAAAAATCGTGGGTTTCTAACTTCTATGCCGACAGTTAAACCTCATTCCTAAGGAATAAAGGTAATTTGCATTTAGCTTAACAACAGGGTTGGATGGAAGTGATCTCAGTCTGGCCACATTGTTTTTTTCTGTACAGAGAAAACAATACCTTACATGTATCTGTATATTTTTTGTGTAGATGTATTTTTTTTAATATATATTAAAATATATATACACACGCACACACACGTGTGTACATAGTGACTGAAAGAAGCACTGTCCTAAAGCAAAGAAAACGTTATTTGGAATAAAAAAAAAAATGTAAGCTGAGGAATATGAACTAAATAATATTTTTTTTGCAGACCCACAAACAGACTGTCCTGTAAATACAGGGTTTGAGATTACAGATATGCTTAGACTCCACGCTAAGGAAGAACCAGCAACTTTTTTAAACGCAAGTAACAGAACTACATACTAAAATTTTTAAATCCTCTAATGTGAATAAATTACGTTCAAGAGAGTAAGTCTTCGATATTACAGTAAAGAGACGGGCATGGTATTCTCAGAGATACTTATATTAATTTAAAAATACTGGTTTTAATCCAAGAGACTCACAAGACAGCTGCTGAGCTACCTGTGCTGAGGGGGCATAAGTAATGACAGACTGCGGGCAACCAATTACAGGCTGCTGAAGGACTGATATAAAGAGTTTGAGAGTTAAGAACAGAACCAGAATTTGTGCCAAATGACACATTTTAATGGGAAACAGATTGCTATATTAATTCACTATTGGCAATCTCAGTAAGGAACTATCTTGTTGATAAAGATGATTGCATTTCAAGAATCCTACATTTATTACGTCAAACATTAAACGAATAGCAATGGCATTCACTTAAGAAAGGCCACACAAAATGGAAAGCAGTAAGTTTATCTTCTACTGACCAAATCAACATAGCCACATTAAAAAGTCAAGGAGGCTGAGAGGCATCAAAACATGAGCATAAACTTAAAATTGTTTAAAAAATAGCTAGTATTGGGCTTTAAACTTACTCGCTGTCTTTAATAACAGTCCCCAGGAAAAGGTAGAAAAGTTGCTTACTCTATTTACCCACTTGATCCGGCGCAAACATGGGCCGGTAACAGAAAGCATCGAGCTGATCCTGTACACCGGGCACAGGAGAACACGGATTTCAGGGCTCGACACTGCAAGCCCTAAAACACGCGCTCAGTTTGAGCGCGCGCAGCCCCCTCGGTGTCGGTGAAGTATCGAACTCCTCCTGCACTGAAGGGTGCTGTGAGAGACGATTTTTTTTTTCAGGGCTTCAGTAACAGCAGCTGCTTTGAAACACTCTTTGGTTATTTATTCTGCCCGTTTCCCAAAGTTTATTACTCCACGAGCCATGAAACAGCAGAACCGCAGCTCTAGAAAGACTGCCTATAGAAAAGAGAGGGGAAATAGAGAGGCAGGGCAGGTTAAGGAGTAGGGACGAATGTCAGGAGCCAGCCCAGGAGCGTCGGCTACGCAGAGGCTCGTCGGTGCCCCGGCAGATGAGGAGATCCGGCAGCAGGAGATGGGTACTCACCAGATCGAGGAACGCTTTTCTTTCCAAGTCGAGCGTTTGGACCCGTGCTCGCAGCGCCAGAATTTCCTTGTCCAGTCTGCTGTTGTGCTCCATGGCCTTCTGGAGCTCAGTCCTGTCTGTACAGAACAGAACAAACTGGTCACCCACACCGGTTCGGACCTTGACCAAGCTCAGAGAGGGGCTCTGACATAAATAAAGTTTCTGAAATCGCGTTGCCCTTATGCAGAGGTGTACGTGTGCGACAGCGCAGAGGGGAGTTCCCCTACATACGAGCGAGTAAGAACTCACATAGTAGAGGTTTACGTTTCTGGAGATCCAGGTTCAACAGCAGTGCTATGTTTGTTACAGGGGCACAGCAATCTCTCCCTAGTTATTCCAGGGATTCGGTTTACCTCTAGATCATGGAAAATGCCTCACCTCAGATATTTAGACATAGGTTTCACAAACAACTCGGGTAAGCTTTGAAAAACCCAAACAGCCCTATTTCTTATTTTCATCATAAAATTCATCATTTGCTGCAAGCAGAAACACAATCACAGTTAACGTATCAGCGTTGTGCTAGCACTAATATCTATTAAACGGCCAGTACAGTAAAAATTACGGCTGTATACCAACCCTTCGAGCCTGAATCAATAAACATATGCAGCCATCACACCAATTAATGCAGACTGTCTAGTATTTCAAGTGCAAGAAATAGGAAAAGATGTTTGTACTAGGAGCACACTGACAGAAATGTGTCCACGTATACACCGGTATCCTAATCCTAAGCAAAACTAGCGAGAAGACAGTTTTCCTTACGGAAAAGGTGAACAAAGATTTTTCCCTTTTCAGTTTAATGCTGGGCACAGGAAATTTCAGCTGAAATTTGACTGTTATTCGGGCAAAAATAAAAACATGCCTTCTTTCTTCGTCCCAATCTGGCAAAAAAACCCCAAACCCCTGTTTCAAACAAGGATTTCAATATTGGATTTTCAGTTTTGGATTTAAAATAAAAGGCAAGGAACACCTTCTACCAAAGTGTTCATTTTGCTGAAAAGCCTGCTTACCCCTACAGAAAGCCTCGATAAAATTCTGGATCTTCTCTGCTTGCAAGTAGCCTGACTTACCACTCTCTCTCCATCCTTCCTCCGGGCTCTCGGGTGCTTGCAGGGCTGACCGCGAGGCTGATCCTACAAGGATAACGAAGAGAGAGTTTTGCTGCAGCAGTCCGTTTGTATGCTTCAAAACTCAGCAACATTTTTAATGCACTTTGTTAAATACAGAGTTGAAGGAAAACTGAACAGAAAAATGAAAGCGGCAGATGGCTAGGCACACAATTTAAAATCTCTAATCACCAAAGACCCAATAACTGGGCTGCAAACTGGCCAGGAGCAATTTCGTATTTTCTCTTCCATGCAAGCAAGCAGCTGGAAGTTATCGTTGACCCAAAATACACTGTTTAAGTGGAGTTCTACTAAAGATCAGAGATTTCGTTTTACGTTTTTATTAGAAAATCAATTCATTTATAGAACAGTTGGCTCTGAAGCTCATCGGGAGGAGAAGGCATGCAGATATACATCATCGGGGAAGCCGCTAAGATGTTATAACACTAATTTTGCACACTAATACTCGCGGCATAATAAACCACACAGACATAACAAGCATTAAACCCTTACTCACAGTTTGGAAAGCCTTATATTCATTTGATACTTAAGGAGATTATAAAACACCGATTTCCCCACGCAGGCTACCATCCACTGAGAGGAGTCGCACGCTGCAGCCCGTCCGTGATCTGGAGAAGCAGTACTGTTTGCAGGCTGCAACACCGCGCTCGCTCCGTCCCCAGGGACGCACGGGTATTAATCGATACACAAAGCAGATACCCGCAGAGTGCTCATTGCCCTGCCTTTGATTAAAAGCCTGTAAATGATGGGTTTGGAGGCCGGCTAGAAGGTTTAGCTAGGCCTGAGTGCTGTGCGTGAGCCGCGAGGTCAGCGTCAGGACCTGTGATTTGCACATAAACCCTACCCAGATGGTACCGGTCTCCCTAAGTGAATCAGTCTCTGCAAAGGCACATGGGGCAGGAACACGTTATCGCATTTTGCTGTTGTCCACTGAAATTCTGCATCACAGATTTGGGGACGACGTAAGTAACCCAGAGAAAAAGCATCCAGAAAACAGTGTTTTGCTCAGGAAATCTCCTGTAGGAGGTAGCAGCGAAGCACCTGGCTTTAGGGACCACTCCAATAGGAGCTTTATCAAGTAGTTTGATTTCCCTCTAGAAAACTTTCTTTTTACAGTCAATATTTAAAAAAAAAAAAAAAAAAGTAATACTTAAGGGCTGGTCAACAACAATTATTTCAATAAGGAGGATAAGCAAATATTAGCAGTGATAAGAATCTAACCAGTCACTTCAAGACTGCTGATAAGCTCCGGCTGGGAGCACTTGTTAATGGCTCCTAAGGAGGCAGCACCCCAAACACAGCACCTGAAGAACCCAGAGATGAGTGGTCCGGCTGTGCTAACACTGTGCACGTGGTATTTTACCTCTGTTTCTGGACCAAGTCATCATTTCCCCTCCATCCCCTCCTAGGGCACGAATTTCTCCCTGTATGAGCCAGGGAGAGGAAGGCAGTCAAGACTCTGCTGCCGTCATCATGGATCCGATAACCCCATGTCTCAGCTTTCCCCACTCAGAATGAACTGATTTGTGACTGTTAACGACTGCATTCAGATCCCCTAGGTACCAGGCTAACATCTGACGCTGATTTTTCCGCATTACAAGCAGAGAGGACACAGGACAGCCTGCCTCCAGCTCCCCCGGGTGAGAAGTCCAAGGCTTACACTGACCAGGGGTGGGCTAAGTGCAGGCCAGTAATTAGGAGTGGCCACAAGAGAAGTGCTGACCTATTTTGCTCTGCTCCTTTCGTTGTGCATCCAGCTCGTCTGTCAACCTCCGGATCTCCTCCTGGGCCATCATCAGCCTCTGCGTGGCCTCATCCAGATCTCGTTCAACTCTTGCACGTGACGCTTGCTCCCTCTCCAGCTCTTCCCTGTAGGACTGAATCACAAGGGCTAACACTCCAACGGAAACGAGATAACCCTCCCGCTGATGGGACCGAGGCAGGTCCTTCCTCCGCACTACTCCTGACCCACCAGAACAAGGTGGGAACACAAACAGAGGGCAGGTGAGCTCGGGGAAGCCACTGCAGAGACAGCCACGCAGTGGATAACCCTCTTCACCACGGACACGTGCAAAACCACAGGTGTTGAACAGCATGGGGCGGCT